AAATGTAGAATTAAGCTACACCTAAGAAATCTATCGTAAAATGTGTTCTGAAGTTGGAGAACCCTCTAGTTAATCATCTTGATGTCGAGATGTATGAGTATGAAAAAAACAAAAAGAAAAGTTTCAAGTCTCAAAAATAGTGCATATTGCAACACATTATCTGGGCCTTCCATTTTCAAGATTTTCATTTGTTAATAGATCTACTCGATTCGAACCATTTTTTAAATCCAAAATTTTATAATTAAAGATAAAAATAGATTTTGAAGTCATCCTAAAATCTTTTGAAACTAAAATTTCATCTTTTAATAAAATTTGGTGGTATACCTTATTTTGATTATTTTAGATTGTGTAACTAATACAAACCACATCCCCTTTTTTTGCTTCCTTTTTTTTTTTTTACTAATGCATCATTCATCCTTTCATAGGGGTCGCAGCAGGTCGGGTTGAAATATTAAATATATTTATATATTATTTAAATATTATAATTAAAATATATACTTTTATTTATTTAATATCAATTAAATAATATTTAAATATTAAATATTATTTCAATAATAACACTATTCGAGTTGGGTCCAATCCAGATCCATCCACATAGACCCAAACCTGGACCCAAATAGTGCTCGAGTCCAATATTTGGACCCAGACCCAACCTGCCAAGTCCAAATTTTGAACCTATACTCAAATTTTGGACTCATATTGGGTCTGGGTCCGGGTTCGGGTCCATTGTTGTCATGACTCCACCCCTTGAACCCATGTCATAGTCCCGCAATATGCTGCCCTCCAACATATACGGTATAGAGTCAAGGGACGGGATCGTGTCAATTGCAACCCCTAATCCTTTGATTCCTAGAAAGAATATACTACATGGTATCTATTCAATTCTCTAGCATTCTCATACACTATCTTATAAAGATATCAGGGAAGTCCAAATCTAAATGAGGTGTTATTGCCCTTCCCTAACACAGTTCCCTATAAAGATATCCAAATCCAAATGAGATGCTATTGCCCTTCCCTAACACAGTTCCCATGTATCTTTGGACCGTACACTTGCAGTAGACAATCCCTCTCTGAGTTAGGGACATATTCAATTCCCCCTATTTCTTCTGGCCTTACTTTTGAGTCCATTACTGATTTCCTTCTTGGGAATATCTCCACCAGGAAAGCAAAGCCATGCTCATTAGCTTTTTTTTAAATGATTTTTTTTTTATAAGCTTGAGGCCTAAAAGGTTGTTTTCACTCAAATTAAATATCTCGACTTCAAGTATGTATGGACATGATAAAAAACAAATTTCAAGTTTTGAAAATAGTACATCTTGTAATACATTTTTAGACATCAATTTTCAAGATTATCAAATTTTCATAGATTTGTTCGATCTACACTATTTTTGTAGCTTTAAATTTTATAATTAGAAATGAAAATATATCTTACAACTATCACATGGATTTCAAGTATTAAAACCACAATTCTCGACACTATTTGAAGGTGCACTTTACTTGATTATTTAGAGCCTCGGCACCCCTTTGTAAATCCATGACAATGTAGGTAGGTAGAAACGCTGAAGTTGCAAGTTTTCAATGCCAGAAGTGCTTTTTCTGGGCAGATATAAAATAGAAGTATACAAGTACAGCTTTGTACAGTAACAAGTTACATAGAGAATGGGTTAGGGGAGAGAGGGGCAATGCAGCATTACATTGAATTGATAAAAAATAAATGCACAGAAGATGAGTATGAGGGAGCACACATTCATCTCTCTCAAACAAACAAACAAAATCCACTTCATCAATCTATGACTCCCTAGTTTACATGAGCACAAGTCTGCATCTTCCCCAGCATGCATGCATGTACAATAATATTTCGAAAGCATGTAAATAACTCCTAACAAAAAGAATATTGCCGCCTCATACCTGGCCCTCACTACCCTCCAATCAGAGCCTCCATTAAGTTCAGAGAGAGAGAGAGAGAGAAATGGTAATTGCGAGGAAGACCGACAAGAGATCGACCCGATATTTTTCTCACACAGGACCTAGCTGATGCTAGAACCGTCTCTCTCCGAACCATCGTTATCCCAACCTTCATCTCCAAAAACCTCTCTGATCATATTATTTGTCGACAAGAAATCAATAGTCTTCTTTGGCCCATTCAAAAAGCCAGCGACCCACAACTTCTCATCACAAGGCTCCATCATGCCCCCGAAATTCCCCATTTCTACATTCGTATCTCTCACTTCTACAACCTGTTGAGACGCATTTGCCATGGGCTCGCCATGCTGATGGCCCCCCTCATATGACATGCACGAGTCATCCTGTACATCAGCATCATCCATGCCATCCGCCATGCCCTTACCTTCACCACCGTATGGATGCTCGCCATCATCAGTTAAAGACTTCTTCTCCAGCCTCACCATCATGTTCACATGCTTTGCACCCACATCATCATCTCCCACACCATCCTCTACATCCACCCCCGCATGATCATGACCATCGTCATCATCATCGTCGTCGCCATCCTCATCATCTTCATCCTCGCCAACATGGCCACCATCAACATCATCATCAACATGGCCATCACCATCATAATCCACATCATCATGGTCCTCAACATCACCATCATCATCCACAACTGAATCATCATCGTCCTCGGCCCCAAACACCTCCTCATCACCGTCCCTCCATTCGTCATCATCGCTATCTGCAATGCATGGATCCCACCGGTTTTGGGCGGCCCTCCTCCTAAGAACAAAAACATTGAAATAGTAGCTAACCAGCTCTTTCTTACTCCTCATCTTGAGAGCTAGAGAGAGGTAATCCCAAAAGTTCCTATTCAATGAAGCAGGGTTCGAGTAAACCACCTCACTGAAAACCCTCTCTTCTTCTTCACTCCACTTCTCCGCCACCTCCTCTCCCATGTCCTCAAACCCTAACTCGATGAACATGGATTTCCCCAATTCATTCATCAGTTTCTCTCTCCTCAACGCTATGTGCAGCTTCACACATCTGACTGAGCCACGGTCAGGGCAGCAACAATCGCTCCTGCCGCGCCCTAAAATCACACCATCCAAGCTGAAGTGTGGCATCGACTGCACACAAGTACCCATCAGCTTATGCTCTCTCTCCCTTTCTCTTTCTAGATCGGCAACATGAGTTGGCGTCAAACATAGTGTAGCATCCATTGGCCTCCTCTCTCCATCTCCCTGTCTCTCTGGATCAACAGCATCTGTAAGCATAGGATATGCACAAGAAACTGGGAGCCTTTGTTCTCTGTCTCCTATCCCTAGATCAAGAGTCCTCGAAGAAGCACACGAGCTCCATTCTGGGACATCCACCTGATGATCAGGACCCACTGGAATGAGCCTTTGAGGAGGGTAATCAAGATAAGACCGGACTGGTTCCTTCAAATGAGTTACAGGTATTGTTGGCTCTTCACTTTCATATGGATAAGGGGAACCCACAGTGTGAGAAGGCGAGTGTGAGTCGACATATTCTTCAGGGTCCATGCTTTTCTGCCATGCAAGGCTGCATATTTTTGAAGGAGATCTCATATTATCAGAGATAAGCCTGGCGTCCATGATATTAGGCATGGATAGAGGTTCTCTGATGGCGTGGAGTGCTTCTTCTGCTTGGGATTTTGCCAACCTCTCATCAGCTTCTTCAGCTGCCCGAACCAGAGGCCAGTTAGTAAAAGATAGCCAAAATAAATAAATCTTTCCCGCATCTACATGATTCAAACCTTTGATTTAAAACTGTTTCCAGACCTTCTAGATTTGTAAAAGATATCAACAAACCTACCTCCTTCTCCCTCCCTCCCTCAACACACGGAGAACTACATCTCTCTCCGGTGTCCATCCCCAAAATCAGTGATAGGGAGAGCACAAGAGCACGGTTTGTATGGTATTTTGCGCCTTCCATAATCAATGGTGTTCTTCTAGAATGGGAAGAATTTTTGGTAATTTTTCAAAACTGAAAGGGAAATGTATGCTTTTGAAGAAACAAATTACTTGAAGTTGGAATTGACCAGTCCCCACCAGATACCAGATCTGATTTCCAAAAGGTAAGGGAAAAGGAACCATTTTTAGTTTCAAAATTCAAAGGAAAAAACATATAGCAATTGGTCGATTTCCAGCAATGGTTGCAGTGAGAATACTTAAAACAGGTGTCAGCCAACAACATCGGCTTCATTTTGACTTTCAGCAATAGGTCAAGTTCACCAAAATCTTAATCAACAATACGAACACGTTTTTTATAAGAACAACTTCGAACTTCTTTTCTCTTTACATTACCTGATATGCAAAACTTGTGAGGTACCTTGCTGAAAGGAACAATCTCTACATAAGCAGACAGCTGATTACTGTGGTCAAACTGAATGGCATGTTTCTTAAAAGAAAGCTGGCAAGACTCATCATCACCGAAGGGACGCTTGTTTTGCTTAAAAACCATATTTTCACCTGCAAGACCATCCATTGCTCATGAACAAGCTAAGGTGGCAAAAGTACATTGATAGGCAGGTCTTGCTTTGTACATGCCAGCAGAAAACAAATTTGCAAAAAAGCACTTGCATTGAGAAAGCATGCTATAATTCATTGGACTGAACAAAACTATAGGCTATTGTGATCAACAACGTCTGATGAAATTATGAATGGTGAAGGAGAAAGAATGTGGCCCACAAAAAAGACACGACCCCAATGGTAAGCCCATCATTTGGTTGGATGGTAATGATCCCAATGTACAATGATCAATCATAGTATGTTGTAAAATTTATAATTGGCCTATCTAGAATAGAAAAGGAAAAGAAGAGTTCCAGATTGGAAACTATAATTACAGAAAGGTAGAATAATGACTCATCAAACAATCAGAGAGGGAAAAAAAATTCTGAAACTGCATGGAATCCCTACAGAAATTATGCTTTACAAAATTATCTCATGAAGCATAAATTCCAGTGCTGGGTATGGACAAGGCTAAACATCTACCAAATAAGTATAACCAGCAGCATTTGCAGCAATTCACTGGGAATCAGCAATATAGAGCAAATCTCCATGGGATTTATGAATAAGCACCATAATAACATAAATCCTTGAAAACCCACAAGAGTGCCTTTCTTTTGCATGGAAAACACCCTTGGCATCTTCTTTTTGGCTAATTCACACCCTTATGGCATTCTCTAAATACAAAGTACCTCACCCTAAAATCATTAGGAGATTTTTCTTTATTGACAGTTGAATGCAATTCATTAAATACAGAAAAACCTTCAAGAGATTTACATCCGTTGTAAGAAATTTGGCTGCATAGACTATGAACCAGTAAAATGGGTTTTACTCACAGTTGATTTTTTAACGCAATACAACTATTCAATAGAGACAAATCTTAACTCTTAAGGTTCATGGTTATGGTGATTTTGAACTGTAGTTTGTGGGTACAACATTAGAAAGGGGTCCCTCTATGTCTAGGCTCATGAGAGGGAATAGAACAGGTTTTAAGGAAGATCTCAGGTGGGATAAGATTACTACCAGATTTATCAAGGTCATAGTGGTGGATTTGTTTTTTGTTTTTTGTGATAGAATGTGATGAACATGGCACTTGCTCGGGAAGGAGGAATAGCAAGGAAGAGGGCCAAGACACTTCATGGCTATACTTTAGTTGCAAAGTGGTGGTTTTTTCTTTACATAGACTAGTTTTGATAGTCTGATACATGTAGTTGGATATGAGAATTGTTATCGTAGTATCCAACTGGTCAGGTTCAGTCTCTACAACTGTCTGATTTTGGGAAGTAAATCGCCATGAGATATTCAAGGGAAATCATCTACAACACCTACATCTAAATTTGGAATTTATCTTTTTTATATAGGCAAGAGAAGGATTCTGATTAAGTATATGTTAGTTCACTGTGATTCTGTTAGCAAGATCCAAAAACATCTTCTAAGTTCCTGGTATCCAAGCTAGTCTTGCCTCATTAAGGATTTTTTTACTGGATAAATAAAACCAGTCTTATAATAAATAGGGTGTTTTATAAGAGTACTTTGAAATGTGTCCCATTGTTGTGTTTGTGTGATGGAGATGAGGCAGACATGATCGACACGTAATGTTGATGAGAAGATGGCTAAAGAACTTAAAAGAGGAATCCAGACGGGTTGGAGCCAACAACCTCTTAAAGACTTCCTACTAGAAAATATGCAGGTTTTTATTCTCTCCAAAACAAAACTTCTTCAATACTTAACATGAATATTCCATCCATTCATTGTCCAACTTGATGCTCCATTCAGACAGAGAGAAATGTGATTAAGATAGAGTTGCAAACTAGTCTTCTAGCAATGAGAATCCACTTCGTGAATAGCAGCACTGTATTTTTAAGAAAGAGTGCTTTGCAAATGGCTATACTTTAGTTGAAGTCATAATGCTTTGTCTAAACTCTAAAGCAATGCAAAATAGGTTGACTTGCTTGAATGTAAGGTAGTATTGAGCAGACTTTCTTTATGTAGTCAACTTCTTCAAAAATTTGAAATCTTAGTCCAGCCATTATATCAGAAAGACAAAACCCATTGAGACACTTTGATGCCAGGAGCACTATCAATGGTCCCATTAACCAACCCCAACAAAAAGAGAGAAAAAAAAACATTGATTGGCGATAAAAAACACACTGTAAAGAGGCATTAAAAAATTGAACACTTTAATTTCAGTGGACTTTGACACCCCTTACTCAGCCTTTCAGATATCACAAAACATTTGTCCCCAAAACTAGAACTTGTGGAAGCTACTGTAGTAAATTGCCAGCCACCATTTTTATATTGTAACCCAACAAACATACACAATACTGATATTACACTTCAGGAATATTCAAACAACACACAATACTGATATTACAGTTTAGTAATATTCAAACCACTACAACTTGCACAATCTCCCCCTCCCCCCCCCCCCCCCCCCCCCGACCCCAAAAAACAAAAAAACACGAACACTTATTGACCAAGCTCAAATCTCAAAAGAAATTTTTTCGAACTTTGTGATATCATATTTCACATCGGATGGTTGCCGGTAATTGTGACCAACTTGTATCAAAAGTAAATGGTCAGTGTACACTCCCTATAATGTAAGGCTTAAGGATAATCTCTTATGTAAATACTTAAGGTGCACAAAAGACCAAATTGCCCCTGGTCCAACACACAACAAAGATGACGAGGTTAATACAAACCGCTACAACTTATAACCGTAAATGAAAAAATATTTAAATATCCCCAAAACCTATACTTAGGTTAAAGCATATTCATACACCCATCCTTACGCATATACTTGAGATGCAGAAAAGACCAAATTGCCCCTGCAGCAACACTCCCAAATATCAAAGATGACAAGATTAATACAAACCCTTGAGACACCACCAATTAACATCTGCCTTTTTTTCTCTTCCTGAACTTGCATACTAAAATTTAGCAACAATGAATATGGAAATATTAAGCAACCAAATTTACGAGAATGATTAAAAAAAAATTAAATTCACATATTTAAAAAAATTGGGATCAATCAAATATCGAAGTCATGCAAATAGAGATTAAGATCTATGTAAGCATTTTACAGAATATAATTTATACTCAGAACATTTCATACCTTCAAATTGTGGATAAGGGTGAAATTTTTTGAAGACCTGGATCGAACAGGCAGAATTCAGAAAGGCTTATTTATCAGAGCAGGGGAATTCCCAAAACGCAACCCTAGATCCTAAATTTTGGTCTACCAAGGCAAAATTACAATGAATTGAATTAGCAGAATAATTTTTACATGAAAAATATATATTTTCCACAGAGAAACCCTAAGATCGAAGAGAAACAGAGCAATTTCACAAAAATGCTAACCCTTGATCTAAGGATTCATGAAATTCAACAAATGAATGAGGGGAATCAGTTGGGACATTTTTTTCACAAGGAAACCCTAAAATCGATAGGAGACCCTGCGATTTTCGAGAGAACTAAGCCCGAGATCCAAAATTCTGGTCAAAAGGGCAAAATTAACAACAATTAATACGGTTATTCGTTGGAAAGGCCAAAGGGATAAATTTTCAGAACGATACCTAGATCAGTTAAGGATCCCCAAAAATTTCAGGAACCCTAAATCGAAAGGACAACTTTTTGTCAAAACAAGAGAGGCTAACACAAATAAATTTAGGGTTAACACTCCTGCACACAGGACGTTATGATTTCAGGTATCAAAACCGGTCACAAACCCTAAATCAAGGGAAAATCAGAAACCATAGATCTAAACCCCAAAAAAAAAGAAAAATAAGAGATATTACAGTCAATTAACAGAGGGGAATGATCAGTATTTGTATAACAAACACGAATCACTCATAGATCTGATGATCAAGAGGAGATCCAGACTAACTCGAAACCCTAACCCTATAAATCCGAAGACATACAAAGAAAGGGGAAAATTACTATTAATCGATAGAGGAGAACGAGATCTGATAGATGAGAACAGTGTATTTGAGATGCGATCAAAGGGATCGAAGAAAAACCAGAAATAATTTGCAGAGAATTGACGGCGAAATAGACGGGAAAGCTAGGGTTCGTTTTTTTTAGGGTTTTTTAATTTTTGTATCCGGCGACGTACATCCGGTTAATTCAATTCAACAACCGGTGATCCTTTCCACATAGAGACGTAATCCCTATAAACAATTACAATAATAGCCTCAATCAATTAATGGAATGACAACAATGGGTAGCTGACCTAAACTGCCTTTTCTTTAGAAAATTAATTTGGTTTGGTATCTCTTTCATAAGCCAGAGGTGGCTACGGGTCGGTCAGACCGGGCCCGACCAAAAAATATTTCGATATATTTTAAATATTATGTTAAACATATACGTGTATTATTTAAATATTACAACAAAAAAATTGCTATACTCATTTAAATATTATTTAAATGATAATGTATTCGGGTCCGCTCCACATGGACCCAAACCCGTACCTAAATAGTATTCGGCTCCAATATTTGGACCTGGACCTGAACCTCATCCATTGCCACCCCAACTCTCTCTCTCTCCCCCTCTTTTTGTATTAATACATTATCTATAAAATGATTGTATGTTTTTTTCTCTTACATCCTCTCTTTTTTAAATTAATAAATGTTTTAGTTCTTTTTAATGTCAATTAAGGTTGTTTGGTCTCCCCCTACAAAGTTATGAATGTTTTTTTTCTCTCATTGAACTTCACGAAAACGAAAAAGTTTATATAAGGTTGACATCTTAAGATGTAGAATTAAGGTGCACCTCTAATATCCTTTGGAAAAAGTGGTTTTAATATTGAAAAAACATCTAATTGATCATCTTAATATTGAGATGTATAAATATGGAGAAAAAAGAGATTTCAAGTCTTAAAAATAGTACATCCCCCATCACATTATCTAAACCATCTATTTTCAAGATTTCATATATTTATTTATCTCCTTGATTTGGACTATTTCATAGTTTAAAATTTTATAATTAGAGATAAAAATAGATTCTTGCACCATTCTAAAAAAATTTTACACCAAAATTACAACTCATAACAATATTTAGAGGCGCAAAAAAAATTTACTCCAAAATTACATAAATTTTGAGATGCATTTTAATTTGGTTTTTTACAGTTGCAACCTCATATAAACCACACGTTTACAAAAATTAAGATTAGTCTTCTCTCTCTATTTTTGTATTCACTCTCCAGCCTGTCTTTACAAAATAATTAAATAAGTTTTGCTTTCTCTCTCTCTCTAAGCCCATTGGAAAATTTGTATCGTCTTTCTCATACCATCTCTCTTGCACTCATCTTTTCAAAATTATTCATTTCTTGATTAAATATCACTCTCTCAAACCTGGTTCGTTAATTAAATTCTCTCTCTCTCAACTCCATAAAATCAAATTCTTTTAGGGGTGCAGTTGGCATACGGATGCATCCGCAGGTGTAGAGGTAACGTGCACCTTCAAATTTTATCATGGTATGTAATTTTGATGTAAAATGTTATTAGGATTATCACAAAATCTATTTTTATATCTAATAATAAAATTTTAAATTTTAAAAATAGTTAAAATTAAGTTGATCTATAAATATATGAAATGGACGGTGTAGATAATATGTTGTAAAATGCATTATTTTTAAGACTTAGAATCTTTTTATTTTTCGTAGTAATACATCTCGATGTCGATATGATCAATGAAAGGGTTTTTCAACATTAAAACTAACTTTTCCGATGGATTTTTGAGGGGCATCCGTAGTTCTACATTATAAAGTAGCATCTTTATTGATTCTCTCTCGGCCATCTTTACAAAATGGGAAAAGTTTATATAAGGGTGAGGCCCTAAACAATCAATTTAGATGTACCTCAAAAATTCTCCAAAAGGGGTTGTTTCGATGATGAAAAACCTTCAGTTCGATCATTTGGACCTCAAGATGTATAGACACAAGAAAAAATAGATTTCAAATATTATATACAATGTATCTTGTAATGTATTCTCTAGACCGACAATTTTCAACAATTTACACTATTTTTAATATATTAAAATTTATAATAAAAGATGAAAGTAAATTTTTAGGCCATCATAAAATTTATGATACTGAAACAACATATTTTTTACACTATTTGAAGTTGCGCCTTACTTTGATTGTTTAGGGCCTCAGCCTTATACAAACCACACCCTTACAAAATTACTAATGTTTTCATACTCTCTCTCATCACCCCATGAGTTCCTTAATAAACTGTAGAGCAATGATCCAATGCAGCAGTTGTATCGTAGTATAATGCAACGACACTTCTAGAAAACCATATTTGTGGTATTTGTATGACTCCAAATTTTGCACACACACTCTATTTATCTCAATAATCAATCCCAAAAAAAAAAAAAGTTCAATTTGAACTCTAGATATAGTCAAAATGAGTCCCTTCCAAAAACGAATCTAGACTATTCATTTTGTGAATTTCAATACCTTAACCTTTACAAACTCAAAATCATTTTTTCCTTTTTTAACATTGTTCATCTAATAATAATAAAGCCATCCAAAAAAATTGGAAATGAAAAAATCATTCTAAAGCCTAGATTTAAGCATCTCACCAAAACGAACGGCCTATGTTAATTGAGCTAAAAAAATACTTTCTAGGTTGTGTTTTTATTTTTTTCTTTTTTTTTGTGATTGTTCATTAGTATGAAAAGAGTGTATATTTCAAATTTTGGATCAAACAAATGACCATAAGATGGTTTTTTAAAGTTATTGCATCATATTACTATACAATGGTTGCATGATATCATTGCTCTAAATTGTATCTTTTAAGTCGTCTCATCGCCAATTTCAAATGGAAAGAAGATAAATAAGCAATATTGTACATTTGGATTTTACGACTAAACCGAAGCGAAACAAAGTATGATATTGTCGCTTCAGTCAGATTCTAGTCGTTTCAGTCAGATTCAAGTCTTCTTCAACTTGATTCGACTGAAGCTTCGGCCTAAACAAAGAAATATTTCTATAAACAGATTTTTTTATTTTTAAATTTTTATTATATTATTATTTCTATATATAAATATATAATTTATCTATATTAAAAAAAAAAAAATCCAAAGTCTTCTCACGAATCAACCAAAAGCACCAAATAACTTTATTTTTCTCACCAAATCGAATAAGAATCCAAAACAAATATAAAAACATTGGAAAATAAGAAAAACACTAATACGATCAAGGGCGATCAAATGAAATTATTTGCGACAATATCTCTATGATCCCGCCGCCATTCTACAACGAAGTGACTATAATACTCCTGAACCTGCTCACAACTAAATGACCTAAATGCCCTTAAGCAAATGGTAAATGACGAAATTACCTTCAAATAATTCAACTTCAACCCTAGTGATTATTGTTTCAAGTACCACAATTGGGCTCCAATTGCCTGGGTCCGATACAGATCGGCCCATTCTAACTCAGTCGATTATGACTATATTTAACTAAAAATAAAAAAGATAAAAAATCTCCAATAAGCTGATTTTTTTGGTTTATAGAGAATGGGGCTTTTGAATAGGAATTGTGTATTCTCAAAAGTTTAGCAGTTTTTTTGTGTTTGAAAACCTGGTGATGGTTGATCTGGACGGGAATTAGTTGAGACTGAATCGGTACTAGGATGGTATAGGTCCCAACTCAATTCCTCTTTTAAACCCTCTTATTTATTTATTTTAAGTTTGTTTAGTATTTTTTAGTCCCCTCTAAATCTCTACCCTATAAAATTCTATTTTATTTTGTATTTTATTTTATTTATGTTTCAATTTTTTTTTTTTTATCACTAATTCGAACAAATCTAGACTCAATATGAATCACCGATCCTGTGAATCAACACCAATCTATGGATAAGCGATCTACCATACTAAACCAGGTTTTGAAACACTCGGTTTTTATGATATTGACTACTGACATTATGCACGTGGCCCAAAATCTTAGTTTCAACTTAAAATGGTCTAGTGTATTTTTTTTTTTGTCTAATAAGGTGAGGATTTAAAATTTTCTCATAACCCATCCCAAGCTCGAATAAAGGAAGTGAGTTGTGTTAGGTAGGCAACCAACATAAAATTTTACTAAAATTTTCATGAATCCAACTAAAAGATGGACTAGGATTCGTATAAACTCTAATTAGTTGATAAAAGGATCTGACGATGATAATGTTCTAGTGTTTTTTAAAATAGATACATTGGGTCTCAAATTTATTCATGTTTACTGAAAAGAATGAATCTAAGAGGAAAAGGAAGAGTAGGTTTACTTGTCAAGGTGAAAAATAAAAGAAAAAATAAAAAAATGCACTTAAATGGCAGTCTTCCAAACCTTTATCCCCTAACCATCAATATATATATATATCACATCTATGAGATAACTTT